TAACCAGCTCAGTGAACTATGTTCCAATGTAGGGTGTGTGGAAACTCCAAAAGGGATATCATGAGACAGGTAGTGGTGGTTAGCTGGGGGAGGTACTTTGAAAATGACCTTGGGCTAGACTTTGAAGGTTGAATAATATTTCACCAAGCAAAGATAAGAGGAGAAAACATGGAGAAAACTGTAGTCATGATCCCTTTTTTTATATTTGAGCAGTTGACTTACCCAGGACCTCTAACCTAGAAAGTAGTGGAATGAGAATTCTGATTCAAGTCTGTCCTTGCTCTACTTCCCAAAGGGGGTAGTGGTAGTAGTGGTTGAAACCTATTTTAGCCATAAATGTTTTTGAAGAAGCAATGGCTTATCTAACCTCTTAGAGCACTTAATATGTTACGGACACAGTTTTAAGAGCTGTAGGTATATTACCATTGCCATCATTTTACAGATGAGAACACTGAGAGTCCTTAGAAAATTTGCCCAGGGTCATACAGCTAGATGAGGTAGGTAGGGCCTTCTATGAAGGACGTTGAACATCATATTAAAGACACTACTAGGGAGTCCCGGAAGTTAGATGACCTGAACAACCTGGGTTTTTAGAAAGATCCCTTTGGCAGGAGTGCGAGTTGAAGCTGGAGGCAGACCAGCAGGGAGGCCATGTCAATGTCAGTGTAGAGCATGGCCAAAGTGAGGATGGAGGGAAAGAGATGGATTTGAAAAGTAGGAGAGAGCAACTGATGGGATTTGTTGTAGGGGGCATATTAGATATCTGCACATTATTGTGGATTAAATTTGTCTTAGAATCCCAGACCTCATTGCTGAGAACAGTTATTTGTGAAACATGTAACCCTGGACTGACCGCTGAAATCAGCAAGAAGAGGAAGAACCATGGATAGTTGGATCCAGGCAAAAGAGAGGCAACATAATGAAGGAAATGAAATTCCAGGAAGGTTTTATTTCCTGTTTAGTTAATGGCCAAGTAATGATCATGCAAAGACTACATTTTTTTATTCCTTATTAAAAATATTCCATATGTCCCCTTCCCCACCCCCCACCCCCCGTTGTCCTCTCCCAGCCTGCCCCGCCCCCCCAAGCCGGGTTTTCACCCTCCCTGCCTCCCCCCCTTCCCACCTCCCCCCAACTTGTCTGTGTTCATTGGTTATACTTAATAATGCATAGAAGTTCTTTGGTTGATTCCTTACTCTCTCCCACTCCTCCCCTGCCTTCCCTCTGAGGTTTGACGGTCTGTTCCATGCTTCTCTGTCTCTAGATCTCTTTTTGTTCATCAGTTTGTGTTAGGTCCAACCTGCGCATTATAATCATCTCAAGGTGTTTTAAAAATCCCAAAACCCAGATCACACCTCAGACTGATGAGATCACAGTCTCTAGGGGTGGAGCCAGGCATCAGTCCTTTTGAAACTCCAGAAGTGCTTCCAATGTGCAGAAAAGTTTGGGAACCACGGCCATATGGATGTAAAAGGTTTGGGGCCTGTCTGCCCAGGTACATTAAAAACATCCGTCATCAAATGTTCAGGTCCATACCATTTTCAGAGGCCCATTCAAGTAATTTTGAGAATGTGCTATGGACTAGGCAATAGGGACACAGGAGTGAACTAGTCTCTCACCTTGTGAAACTTGGAGGGACAGATAAGAAGTAAATAAAAGGTGTATGTAAATAATGAGGAATAACACAACCAGAAGGAATATAATGCAACCAGTTGGCGAGCTTTTATATAATGGGAGTGGCAATTGTCAACACCGAGGACAGTTTAGTTAGGACAGTCTATTGAACAACTCCATTGGGATGTCTAATAAACATCTCCAACTTAACATGTTCAAATCTCAGTCTCCAGTATTCCTCCGCTCCCCAGACTATCCCTCCATCTTCAGAGTACCAATTTCCCTTTTGAGAGGTTCATGGAAGAATCATTGCTGAGCCAGACGGAGGCTGCAAGGTTATCAAGGGCCACATGTACTAGACCCACATGGCTGAGGGAAATCTCCATTGGATGTCCTCACAATATACTACTGACCACTGCCCCTCCAGTGCCATCTACTGAGAAAGCTTATTGTGCTCATTGAAAAGCACACATGCTTAATGGAATTCTGTTCATTACTGCAAAGCAAAAAGGGTAACTTGGGAGCTGAGAGGCAATGAATTGTTTATCGAGACAGGAGCCATTAGAAGCTGCCTGCCATAACCCTCTATCTACGAAAGAAATTGAATTCATTATGAAAACCTTCCCACAAAGCAAACTCTGGGCCCAGATGGTGTCACAGGTGAATTCTGTTAAACATTTAAAGAAGAAAAACACCAATTTACAAAAACTTTCAGAAAATAGAGAAGGAGGGAACTCCCTAACTGGTTGTATTGGATGAATATAACCTTGGTATCAAAATGAGACAAAGACAATACTAAAAAAAAAAAAAAAATGCAAAATTACAGATCAATATTTTTTGGAACAAAATAGATAATACTTTGAGATGATTAAAAATCACACATATGGCCCTGGCCAGTGTGGCTCAGTTACTTGGGTATTGTCCTGTAAATCAAAAGGTTGCCAGTTTGATTCCTGGTCAGGGCACTTTACCTCGGGCATGCAGGAGGCAGACAATGTTTTGCTCTCACATCAATGTTTCTCTCTCCCTCTAAAAATATATTTTTAAAAGTTATACTAAAATTATATTGTTATATAAAAGTCTCGCTTCCATTCCTGATTCTCATCTGTCCTTCAGAAGTAACTTTTTTAAAAATTTCATACACATATATATTTTTTTCCAGTGATTTTCTTTATGGATATATAAGCAAAAATTTGTTCATATGTTTTTATGCAGAAGACAAGAAACATACATAATGTTCTTCACCTTGCTTTTTAAAAAAGTAAGTAATATATTCATGCAAATATGTCTATATGATGAACTCCCAGGATGGAATTGCTGGCTAAAGGTATACCTTGAGGGGGGTGCTCAAGTACAAGTCTCTCTTTTTTAAGGGGGAGATGGAGCTTGTTTAAATATTCAAGAGCTGTGTGTTCTTGGGCAAACAGTACTTAATGTCTCTGATTCTGCAATAATAGACGTGATGTGATTAAAAACAATAAAAAATATGCCAGTATATGCCCTGCCTGGGTGGCTCAATTTCTTGGAGTACAATTCCCTTCAGGGCACATACCTAGGCTGCAGTTCATCCTATCTGGGCGCGTCTAGGAGGCAACCAATGGATGTTTTCTCTCTCTCAAATAAATAAAAACACATCCCCGGGTTTGAATAAGGTCTATTAAGATACGTATTTGGAATAGTTCGAAAATGTCAAAGGTAACAAAATAAATGTTTTTCTTGTTCAAGGCTGGGCATATATAATGCAGCTTTTCGTTGTATTTAAAACAAAGAAAACGAAAGCGTATTACTGTTGTCGAGGTGTTTTGTCCCAGAGTCAGACCCGTAGCCCCGCCCTCGGCCCGAGAGAGGCTTCCTCTGATTGGGCTGCGTGATTCTGCCCTGACACCGGAAGGCCGGCCCCATTGGTCAGCGCAGTCCGGGGACCGGCGGCTTTTCTCTCGGTGCTCCAGGCGCTGACCCGCTTCTCTCCCCTCCGACTGGGCGCTCCCGATCTTCCGAAGTGTCCGGAGCTGCCAGCCCGAAGGGGTCCGGACCCAGCTAGGCCGGTAACTGCGCTGAGGTCAGCGGGGAAGGAGCGGGTGGAACACGGGTGGTGGGCGCGCCAGCGTGGCCCGCGGTCCCTGCGACCCCCGTGGTCTCCGCGACCTCCCTGCCCCGCCTCCTCCGCCGGCTCCACCTCCCTCTGACTCCCACGGAGGCTCCGCTGGCCCCTCCGCGAGCCCCTCCACCGGCCCGCCCTCCCCGCAAACCCTTCTGCGGGCCCGCCCTCTGCTCCACCCGCCTGGGGCCCCGCCCTCACGGCGCTCCCTCCAGCCGCCCCGCTGCCTCCGCGGACCCCTCCACGGGCCGCGTCCTCACCCAGCGCTCCACCGCCCAGTGGCTCTCTGCCCGCGTGCAACACCTGGGCCCCTCCACGTCTCTTATCCTTTCTCTCAATTAACCCTGCCTCCCCTCTTCCTGCTGGGGTCCCCCACCCATCCAGTCTGTCTCCATTTGGGCTTAGCCAAATGGTGCAGAGGCCTGCTGCTGGGCGGTAGAGATCCCTGCTTTCTAGAGCTCCCTGTCCCGTGGGCAAGTCACTTTGTAAGGGAGTGCAACAGGATCTGGGAATGGAGGAAACAGTATTGCTAAGCTGCATGGAGAATGCTACAGTTTTCACCCTCCCTGCTGGATCTGCTAGCAGGATTGCCAGGGGCTAAGCTGTGCCTTTCTCTAAAAATGTCCGAGGCTTCTTCTGATGCCGAATATTGGCTCCACTTGTTGTCCTTTAAAAGCTTAGAAAGAAGTAAAATTTCATCATGGGCCCTTCTTTTAGCCAGAGTTGGTAGGGCTTCAGACCTCATCCATCTAAGCCTTCCGTGTGCTGTCTGGGCTGCGACTCAGCATCAACCTGTTGATCCTTTTTGAGATCTTCCTGAGGATGCTTACCCAGTATTTCAATTACTCAGCAGTCTTAGTTGATAGGAAAACCTAAACCTAACTGTGTAGATAAAACCTCCAGTCAGCGAGTAGGCTTCAAGCCACTGCACTTACTAAGTACTAGTGTCTCTTTTTCAGAAGATTGTGGCTGCCACCTTCCGTTTTTTTGTAGTCAGGCCTCCCGGGGCCCCTGAACCCGGCTCCACCATTTACTGTGAAGTTTGACAAAGAAACTTACCTTATCTGAGCCTCCATTTTACCTTCTACTCAAACAGATGGTTAACCCTCTCACACAGAGTCGTGATATGGATTTGTTGAGATCCTGCTGATGAAAAAAAATAAATTGCTTTTAGGGTCCTCTAAACAGTGGGGTCTCAGCACAAGTGAGCTCCTGCTCTTCAGATTCAAGTCCGCCTGGTTCAAGCCAGCAAAGAGCCTGACATGTTTGCTCCTCTCTCCCAGGCACCATGACCACCCTGGATGATAAGCTGCTGGGGGAGAAGCTGCAGTACTATTACAGCAGCAGTGAGGATGAGGACGACCACAAGGACAAGGACAGGAGCAGCGGTGCCCTGGCCGGCAGTCCGCTGCCTGCAAATGCTAAGGCGGGCGAAGGCTTCTCCATTAACACAGGTACTGGAAATCCCTGGGCTCTGGGAACAGATTTAAAAATGTCAGGTAAATATGTATCAGTTGGAAGTCTCCTAATGAAATCCCTCTCATTCCAGCCCCACTTCCAGAGATTTGATGTTGTCATTTCACTGCGCATACTTCTAGCCATTGTGTTATTGCACAATACAAACATGTGTGATAGCACCACGGCAGTGAACACAGACTGGCCTGAGTTTGAGTCCTCAAATTAGTATTTGTTTGATAACACATAAATCATAGGTTTGAGTATATTGGTAGTATAAATTCCTAAAAATGGCATATTGACCTTTTTTTTTTCATTTTAGTTCCAAATTGCTGTCACGTTGAAGTGGCACTGTTTCATAGTTTAGCCAGGAGGACAGTGTTTCTCCATATACTTGCCCTCCTGCTTTGTCCCCACACTTTTGTTAAAAAATATATTTTATTGATTTTTTTTTTTTTTTTTTTTTTTTTTTTACAAAGAGGAAGGAAGAGAGAGCGTTAGAAACATCGATGAGAGAGAAACATCGATCAGCTGCCTCCTGGGGATGTGCTCGCAACCAGGGTACATGCCCTTGACCTTCCAGAATCGAACCTGGGACCTTTAAGTCCATAGGCCAACATTCTATCCACTAAGCCAAACCTGGATTCCGCTGCCCTCTGTGAGCATTGCTTCGGAGTCGATGGAGGGAGCTTTAGACCGGTGTGAGCTGGTCTATAACTCCTTGCCCATTCTTCTTGGTTACCTCCGTGTTCACCCCTAACTCAGGTCCCAAAGGTGTGATCAATGACTGGCGCCGCTTCAAACAGTTGGAGACAGAGCAAAGGGAGGAGGATTGTCGGGAGGTGGAAAAGCTGATCAAGAAGCTGTCACTGACCTGCAGGTCCCAGCTGGACGAAGAGAAGGAGCAACAGAAACAGAAGGACCTCCAGGAGAAGATCAGTGGGAAGGTAATGCCTAGAACCCTGGCTCTTCTCCGGAGCTGCCCTGGGGTTAATGATTCAGGAGGTGTGGGGTGTTTGATGTGGCCTCCAAGGAGCTGTCATGCTGGGGAACATATAGCGTCATGTCATAACTCAGACACGCATGGGCATGAATCTGAGCTCACCCACTATTGACTGTGGGGACTTCTCTTCCATTTTGAGTCTGGCTTTTCATTGATGAAATGAGGTCAGTAGCCCTGCCCCACAGAGCTGTGTGGGTATGCTCTCCATCACAGTGCCTGGTCCATTGAAAGTGCTCAGTAAATGTGAGTTTCCTGTCCTTAATTGAACTCTGACCTTGGGCCTTCGGAAATAATCCTCTGAGGTTGGTGGTATTATCCCCATTTATTGGATGATGAAACCAGTGCTTAGAGATGAGAGGGGACTCGCTCAGCGTCCTGCAATTAGCAAAAGCTAATAGGAAGTAGGATTCTAAGCTAGATTTTCTTGCTCTTTTCATGGTGTTTCTCTGTTTCACTGGAAGCCAGTGAGGCAATCCAATAGAAGAAATATGGAATGAGGTCACTGACTCTCTGTATTCCCAGTATCAAAAGGCCTCTCTATTTCATCCCTCTGATCACAGATGAATCCCTAGGAGTGTCTGGATCATTTGGCTATGACCCAAAGCAGCTCATGGCTGGACATACCAGCCAGGATCAGGAAAAGCCGTTAAGAGTTTTAAGTGAGGAGCCATTCACCTGACCAGAAGGATGATGTCAGGGCATTAGACTCAAACAAAGACCCTAACGGGTAGTAGAGAGCTCTGAGGTGGGATGAAGATTGGGAATGTAAGCAAAACAGTGAATTCAGAACGGGGCTGGCTATGGTGCAATAACATCTGTTCTTATCGAGTGTGGTCCCTCAGCCTCCACCCTCTAATCTGTGCCAGGTTAGGCAGAGCTAGGCCTTGTCTTACTGCACTAGAGCAGGAGAAGCAAGACACTTGAATAACTTCAGCTGGCTGCAGGGTTGTGTGCCCACTGCTCACCATGCTTCCTCATACTGAGGCAGCGATGTCACATGATCACACAACACAGTCTGAAAGATGCTCTCCCTGCCCTGCTGAGTTATGTGAGGAACAACAGAACTGGACATTGCCTGGATGCCAGAAATAGGGGAGAGGCAAAGCAAAATATGGACGTGATGGATCATTTTATAAAAAATATTTGAAAACACAAAGCGTTTATGATATAACTAGAGGCCCTGTGCACGGGTTCGTACACCGGTGGGGTCCCTTGGCCTGGCCTGTGGGGATCGGGCTGAAACTGGCCTTCCGACATCCCCCGAGGGGTCCTGGATTGTGAGAGGGCACAGGCCAGGCCTCTAGTATGTATATAAGATCTTTGGTTAATCTTTTCCCGCCCTCCTCCCTCCCCCTTCCTTCTGAGACTCATCAGTCTGTTCTATGTTCCCATGCCTGTGGTGTCTGCTCCTGTATTGAGCATCTGACCCTTGGTGATCAGTGTGCATCATAGTTACCGGTTGGGCAGTCAAACAGTTGGCTGGTCATTTAGGCTTTTATATATATAATGCTAACTGGCAAAAGCAGGTCATAGCTTAATTTTGACCCCCACAATTGCTATTATAAAAACAAAAGCATATGACTGTGTACTGTGTGTGGAATGAGCATGTGTGTGTGCAGGGCTAGGATTATGGTGTTCTTTTTAAAGTTCCTAATGTCCTGTTGTCTGCTCAACAAAAACAAAACCATGAATAAAACAATCTATTGTCAAGACTGACAACAAAGGCAAAGCTAGTGAAGTGATATTATCTGATGCTGCCTATTTGGATTTGAGAAGCAATATTAATACAGTGGTTAAAAGCCTGAGTTTTAAAATAATCTAGTTTGATTCCTGACCTTACACTTGTTAGCTACGTGAATTGTGCAAATGATCTCAAGTCTTGGAACCCCATTTCTAAAGTGGGGGAAATAGGTGGAGGTGGGGGGAAGGTAGGGAGAGATTAACTGGGGAACTTACATGCATATATGCATAGCCCATGAACACAGACAATAGTGTGGTGAAGGCCTGCAGGAGAGAGATGAAATGTAGGGGAGTCAATGGGGGGGGGGGGGGGGAAGGGATTACATCTGTAATACTTTCAACAATAAAGATACATTTAAAGAAACTCAACATAACAAAAATAAAGTGGGGGAAACATAAGAATTCAGGGAAGTGTCACACACAGAGCGCTGAGCATAGTGCCTACCTCTCGCGTCATAAGCACATGGTACACGTGCACTGTTGTTACGGGTGTTGGGTTTGTGTTTCGGATGCTCACTTGCTGGTCCTCCTGCAGATAACTCTGAAGGAGATGGCCATGATGAACGGGGACCTGGACGACGAAGAGTTTCTGCAGCAGTACCGGAAGCAGAGGATGGAAGAGATGCAGCGGCGGCTCCATAAGGGACCCCAGTTCCGGCAGGTGTTTGAGATCCCCAGCGGAGAAAGGTTCGTAGACATGATTGACAAGGAACGGAAAAGCACCCTCATCATAGTCCACATCTACGAGGATGGCATTCCGGGGACCGACGCCATGCACGGCTGCATGATCTGCCTCGCCTCGGAGTACCCCGCTGTCAAGTTCTGCCGGGTGAAGAGCTCGGTGCTCGGGGCCAGCCGCCGGTTCACCAGGAACGCCCTTCCTACTCTGCTGATCTACAAAGGGGGCGATTTGGTGGGCAATTTTGTTCGTGTCACTGACCAGCTGGGCGAAGATTTCTTCGCTGTGGACCTCGAAGCCTTTCTGCAGGAATGTGGATTGCTCCCTGTGAAGGAAGTCGTGGAGCGGACGTCTGTGCGTAACTCTGCCGCCTGCCACAGCGAGGACAGCGATCTGGAAATAGACTGAACTGACTGGTGGCGTAGATCTCTCATCGTTTGGGCTGGAAGATACCCCTCTCTGCTTATTTTTATTCCTTCCTGTGTCTTCTGGCTCTGCAGCTATTCTTTGTAGTCCCTTTCATTATATGTAACGTCAAGAATGTGTGGCTCTCCATAAAGCGACTTGAAATTGTGTAACAGGGAAGCAGGCTTTCAAACTGTTTACTTCAGATTCTCCAGCACGACCTCCTTGTTGCCTCCACTCACTGTTCCCATGGCAACCTAAAGACTGTGTCCTGGAAACTGTCTTCAGATGATCTCAGAGGCCTGGCCAGGGCTGGGAGTCTAATTCTACAGTGTGTTACTTGTAAATAGTACATTTCCTTCATCAAATGATTGTAAATCATATTTTAATTGTAAGCAGACCCATAGTCCAAGAAGGCGGTTAAATATCCTCCCTGAGATCCTGTTCTCTATTGGGGGCTTACTTTGAGGTTCTAGATGATGTGCACTTGCCCCATTAAGAAAGAGAATGACCTTTGCTGCTGGGCCCCATGTGCCACCCCTAGAGGAGGAGGAAGGACCCATGCTGACCTCCCGGGAAGCCCAGTTTGACTTAAGGATGAGAGCTGGGTGGAGCTGGAAAGCCTTTTTAGAGGAGGATCTTTCAATAACATCTTTTTCTCTTTTATTTAATAAATTAATTTTCTGTTTAATGTAGATTAAAAAAAAACCAAAACTTTCCTCCCAGGGTGTTTTCTTTGTAGGCATTCTGTTGCTAAGACAATGGGATCATTCTGCACATACTGTTTATAGTATGGTCAACCAAGATAGCAAACAGTTTTTTCGTGTTATTAAATACTCTTCTACAGCATTTTGTAAATGGCTGTTGGTATTCCATCGTATGGATGTGCTGTAGTTTGCTTGTTGGTTGTCGCTTAAAAAAGAAAAACAGAATTTTTTTATTGCAAATCCTGCTGTCATTCATTAGCAGATGTTTATTGTAGAAAATGTTATAAAAAAAAAAAAAGATTAAAAGTTTTTAAAAGCCTTATAATTGCACCAACCAAAAATAATCCCTGATGTCATTTTACAGGTATCTCTCTAGTCTTCTTTTTCTGTATTTATAATAGTGATTGTCACGTGTTGTTTTCCTCTTATTTTTTGCTTTTAAAAAATGTACATTTTAGGATCAGGGAAATGTAATCTGGAATTAAATATTTGCTTTAAAATTCTCAGTTTCACTTTGCCTGGATGTTTAGGAATTGACTGACTATATATGACGGGTCCTGAAAATATCTGTTGTAGTTAATCAACAAAAAGAAAGTGCTTGGGCCCTAACAGGTTGGCTTAGTGGATAGAGCGTTGGCTTATGGACTGAAAGGTCCCAGGTTCAATTGTGGTCAAGGGCATGTATGTACTTTGGTTGTAGGCACATCCCCAGTAGGTGGTATGCAGGAGGAAGCTGATCGATGTTTCTCATCCATGTTTCTAATTCTTTATCCCTCTCCCTTCTTCTCTGTAAAAAATCAATAAAATATATTTAAAAAAGAAAGAAAGAAAGAAAATGCTTGGTTTTTCTGATTATAAAAGCTCATTGTACCTGGCCAGTGATTGAGCGTTGACCTATGAATGAGGAGGTCATGGTTCTATTCCACTCAGGGCATATGTCATGTCCGGGTTGCAGGCTTGATCCCCAGTAGGGGACGTGCAGGAGGCAGCCAATCAATGATTCTCTCTCATCATTGTTTTTTCTATCTCTCCCTCTCCTTCCTCTATGAAATCAATAAAAAGCTCATTATAAAAGTGTAAAAAGTTCTGAAAATTATTAGAATCAGACAATTATTGCCAATGTTCTGGTTTTTTTCAGTCTTTTTCATTGTATTTAATAACATCGAGAAAACTGAATTTAATTCTGTTTTGTTTTATTTCATACTATATCATAAATAATTTGACATAAAAATTCTAAATAATTTTAATGGCTTCATAATATTCCATCATTTGGATATAACAATTTATTCACTAGTCCATTAATATTGGATATTTAGAGGCCAAGTTTTTTGCTAAAACACTTAGTATTTTGGATTATTTTGGGTCATTTAGTATAGATTTCTGGAAGATGAATTATTTGATAATGAACAGGAATGTTTAAAAATAGCTTTCAGCCCTGGCCAGGTGGCTCAGGCTTGATTACACCAAATGGGTTTGATTCCCAGTCAGGGCACAACCCTGTTTGATCCCTGACTGGGGCATGTGTGGGAGGCAATTGATCAATGTTTCTCACATTGATGTATATTTTGCTTTCACAGAACCTTGACTTTGCCTTTCAAGAACAGAATTTAAAAAAAAAAATGAACAAACAGGGGGTGGGGAAATCCTAGCATTAAATCACCAACTCAAGTGTAGTGCAAATAGCACAGGTTTTGGACTCGGATCAGGGTTCAAATCCTGCTGTCACTCGCAGAATAGCTTCCTGCGAGGTTTCTAGCCTTCCTGAAACTTAGCTTCCTCACCTTTGCAATGGGAACAATATCTGTTTCTTGGGTGGTTCTGTGATCCCAGAGCAGCAACTTCGCTGGGGAACTTGTTAGAAATGCAAATTCTTGCCCTCGCCAGTTTGGATCACTGGATCAGCCTGTGGACCAAAGGGTCTTGGGTTCGATTCCGATCAAGGGTACGTACCTTGGTTGCAGGCTTCTCTCTGGCCCGGGGATGCGTGCAGGAGGCAACCAATTGATGTGTTTCAGTCCTTCCCTTTCCCTTCCATTCTCTCTCAAAGACCAATGGAAAAATATCCTCAGGTGACGATTAACAACAACAACAAACAAAACACAAAAAACCACCACCAACAACAAAAAGAAATGCAAGTCCTCAGGCCTCTCCCTAGACCTACTGCATCAGAAATTCTAGAGATGGTCCGACATGCTTCTTCTGAGTCTTCCAGGTGATCATGAGGAGGGATCAAGTTTGAGAATCATGGACCCATCGGTGAAGGTGAGGGACAGCATCTGTCACAGAAGGGTTGGGAAAGGAGAGGTCTCAGATCACTTCCTGTTTCATATGATTCTCCTTGTTAGCCGTGGAGTTGTGGGAAAGAAAGGCACTAATATCAGTCTCTTGCAAACGGTCTCGGTAGTTTTCCAGCTCTCACTTTCCTCTGGAATGAAAGCCTCACTGAGACGTGGACTGTTTTCCTGCCTGTAGCATACCCTGTGTTTGCTCTGGAATAGGGTGTACCAGCTCCATGGGCAAGAAACTCACCAACTTAATGCCTCAGTTTCCTGAAGTGGGGACAATCAGTGATTATCTCAGGGTTGCCGCAAGGATTCATTCAGTGAGCCAAAGTTCTCAGCATGTGTGGCACATAGTAAACATTCCAAAAGCATCATCTTTATTACTATCTATTCTCCACAGAGCCTGTGTCCACTTAGGAAAAAAGAGCCTTATCCAAGATCCTGGATCCCTTTGGACTGCTTGGAAAACCCCATCTATACTTCAAAACTCAGTTCAAATCTCACATCCACCCTAGCTGTTTTGGCTCAGTGGATTGAGCGTTGGCCTGCAGATGGAAGGGGCCTGGGTTCTATTCCAGGTCTACTCCAATCAAGGGCATGTTCCTGGTGGGGCGTGTGCAGGAGGCAACTAGTCAATGTGTTTCTCTCACATCGATATTTCTCTCTGTCTTTCCCTCTCTCTCCCACTCTCTCTAAAAATCAATGGAAAAATATCCTCAGATGAGGATTAAAAAAAAAAAAAAAAAAGAACAAATTTCACATCTTCTCTGGGCCCTGAGTCTTTCTGGCCAATTTAGAAAGCAGCATGGTATGTGCTCCCACAGGTTACGGTGATATTAAGAAAAGTGTTTGAGGACTTCAAGCCTGATTCTAGTGCTGTGTGTCCCTTGGTTTGCCTACCTGCACAGTGGGAGTGACAGAGGTTGGAGGACAGGTCTGTGAGTTGCCACTTAGCGCTTTGTTTAACACATAGAAACGTCTCCGTTATCTACTGTTGGCCTCCTGCTATCATTTTGTATTTAATTTAATGAAAAATGTAAAGTTTTACCTAAGTATGAGAGGTGGTTGGGAAGACCTTGGCTCGCTTTTCCCATCTTCAGCATGTGTGGTTGCCAAAATTGAATTGTAATTGTTTGTTTACATATCCTAAATAATAATAGTCTAATATGCTAAGTATCTGGTCATCTGCTCAACCAATCAAAGCGTACTATGCTAATGATATGATAAGACTGCTCAACAGCTCATTATGATGTGCACTGATCACCAGGGGGCAGATGCTATGCTGCTGGGGTCTGGCAGATTGGAACTAGGCAGGACATGCCCTGGAGCCCTCCCTCGGTCCCTCTCTAGCTGGCCAACCTCCGGCATTCCTTCCTGGCCCCAATCGTGCACCAGTGGGGTCCCTCGGCCTGGCCTGCACACTCTCACAATCTGGGACCCCTCAGGGGATGTTGGAGAGCTGGTTTGGCCTGATCCCGCAGGCCAGGCCGAGGGACCTCACTGGGGCACAAATTCATGCACTGGTCATCTAGTCAGACTATAAAATCCTTAGGGACAGGGACTGTGTAATTTCTGGTCTCTGATTTAAGTTGACATAAGTAAACGTTTGCTGCTTAAGTGGGGAAAATTCCCTCATAGGTCAGAATTCATCGCAATAGGGCAGAAGACTATTATATTGCCTTTCCAGGAATGGAGGAGTGCTACCTACCTATGCTCACTGAGAACCAGATCACAAGTTCAAGCTAAATCCCAAACCCTGCCAGAGCGTGTGAAAACGCTGGTTATAACCTGATATGACCACATGGTGGAAGCAGAGGAGAGGGAACGAATAGTTTTATTAAGTAACTGGAGCCAAAGACTGGATTTGGGGCCTGAAGATGATTATGTCTAGCAGCATATAGAAGTCATTTTATTTATTATTTTTATTTTTTTGTTAACCGTCACCCAAGGATATATTTCCATTGATATTTTACAGAGAGGGGAAAAGAGAGGGAAAGACAGAGAAACCACATCA